TGTTGTATCTAAATTTAAATATAAACAAATATTCCCGCAAGAATATAGATATAAGTACGAGCCATTACGAGATTTTAGAATGTAATCATCCTAAGAAACATGATAAAAGTTGATTCTTAACCTCAATACTTAACTGTGAACAATTCATATGTATATTTTTTGGGTTCTGAAAATGTTGAAGGTGTTAAACGTCAAATGTTGAAGTTTTTGATGATTGTTGACTCCGTCAGTATTAATAGTCATAATCATCAGCACATGATATGAAGAATATACGATTGTAATTGTAGCCATAAATATAGTGAACACAAAAAATTACTTTGAAATTTTTAATATAAACGCTAGTGGAATGAAGTTTTGGATTGTAGAAGGGCATACAGAATGCTTGTTCCTGGTATAATTTAAGTTAATGTGGAATAAGTGTGCATATTACATAATAGACTAAATTATATACTTAATACACTTCTTTCAGCGAATTTACAGTATGCCTGTACACAAGATGCAGAGATTGTACCAGCTTTGCCTTGAGAACATTGTACAGAATGCAGATTTCTGGCTACAGGTCAACAACATTCAAGAGAAGCCAGGAATATTAGGCAGTCCATTTGATTGTCTGCGTAAGTAGATGTAGGATTAACAAAAAACTGTTATAGATGCCACTTCCCTCCTTCACCAATCATCTAAGCTATTCCTAATCTACTTATTTAGTAATATAAGAGAGAGGCTACATAGATGCCCAAATTGTAAAAGCTTGCTTACATGTAAGTAACTGTGCCCTCATTTGGAACACCTGATAATGCCTTGTATAACAACAAACCTGATTTCTAGTATGATGAAACTGATCCATTAATGCCTATTAAGTTGTGATTCTGCTTACTCTAGTGACACTCAATTGCTGCTGACCAGTTTCCATGTTTTCTTTCTGGAACCATATTTTATTCAAATATCTTGCTGACCATGCACGCTTAACAATAAAATATAACCTACTGAAGTGTGGCTGGGAAGAAAAAATTAGCAGAAATGTGTAGGCACATTATTGCTTACTTACTCATTACTGAAACATCTGTTGGGGAAAAAGAGGAAGGTAGGAAAATACAAGCACCATTTCATTTACAGTCTAAGCTTCATATCCTTACCTTAAATTGTTTATGTAATGTTACAGCTGCAAGCCTAGAACAAGATCTTCTGGATATGTATGAGCAGATTCATGGTTTGCCAGGCAGAAACAACTTCTGGTTGGAACAACAGGAGAAATGGAGACTATTCATCACTCGTAGGATAACGCGCCTCACTATCACGGAATACACTGAGAAGATTAGTCTAGTGCATGTTGCTGCTACTTGCAGAGTAATATTTGTTTGTTATTTTATTTAATGACACTGCATAAATCATATACAACTGGAATGCAGTGTAATATTTTATGTCTTTTAGCTGCCATCTTAAAAGTTACAATTAAAAAAAGTAAAAGTTTTAGTTATAAAACCTGAAGGGAAGCAACAACTTGCAAGGCCTAGAATAATATTTATTTGAATTATAGAGAAGTATGTTGTGAGGATGTGGATTGGATTTAAGTGGCTCAGGATAGGGTCCAGGTATGGGTTCCTGTGAACACAATTGGATCCCATAAAATGTTGGCAATTTCTTGACCATTTGAGTTACTATCAGACAAAAAACTCTGCTCTTGTCTGTTAATTTGTTAGTATTCATTGCAGTTTGTTTTACATAACAGTTACTATTGTTGAATGACAAATAAGTATCTGAAGCATCAGAAAGTGAGACGGAAACAACGTGTTTAGCACCTGATGGGAAGTCAGTAATTTTGTCATTGTTATACTTTCATGTTTCATCTAATTTTATTGTGAGTAGAGGTTGTGTTTAGCCTCTTTTATGGTGGGGTGGGGGGAGGGGTTACTTAGATCTTAAGCTCTTGTGGGCACACAATTTCTTGACTGATTGAATTAGTTTCTCAGGGGGACTGCTTCGTGGAGTTTGTTGGTTGCATAATAACACATCACATTAGATGTAGAGATTATTAGGAATGATAATTATTCTACACATTGTGTGGTCTATTTCTTCAGGAGTAAATTGGCTGGAGTGTGAAGCTGATCACTCACCTCCATTGTCTAGAACACATAGGTCTTTACTTTCATACTCCAGTAAGCCCTGTTGACGTATTGTGTATATGCAGGGGGAGTTGTATTTTGCTTGTGTGAGTACAAATTATGGATCTCCTCAGCACACCCATAATTTTACCATAATTTGCATCAACTTCTCAGCAAAGGAGAGAAACAGTGTAACACAAGGAAACAACATGGCTGCTTGCAGAATCTGAAGCACTTGGAAGTGAGGGATGTAGAAGAGGCTTTACCATACTTGAAGGCTGTGGCACCATGCCTGACCACAATTGTTTCTCTCAGCATAGATACCATGGCACATGTCACCAGTGGATCACTGAAGTATATCCGTAACCACTGCCCAAACCTAAGGTAATTATTGAAATAAGATGAAAAGAATAGGCACAAAGTGTTATGAAAGCCATTAATTGCTGTATGCCGGTAATGTTTCACAAAACTCATAAGATTTGTAAATATGAACCATTGTGTTTGCTCTGAACATGTTGTACTTGCAAATTTGAATGCTTCATACATTTTCTGAAGCAGAATTGATAATTTACATAATGTTCCAATGGGTAACAAGGTCCTTTCCTGGGGGTAAAGCTAAATTGGGGTGTTACACTGACCACTCACCCTATCTAGTGCTGAGGTTAAGAATGAGTAGGAGCTATACCTCTCTTCCGTCAAGCACCTATATGGGGTATAGCAGGACAGCTTTACTTTTACTTATAGAGGTAACATGTCTCAATAGTGGGTTTGCAGAATACCTGTCACTGCCACATTTCGAAACACAGACTACAGTTGCTATGAATGTCTTTTCTTTGGATAATGTAAACTTGACAGCATTACTTTCATTTCAGGGTGTTGGGACTGAAATCTTGTTTCTTGAATGACAAAGCTATGAATCATTTGAAACACATATCAACACTGGCAGAATTAGATCTGCGTGATACAGAAGTTACTGCTGTGGGGGTCAGCCAGGTACTAAAGTCAAATCCTCAGCTTCGCAGTTTGCACCATCCTGAAGTGGTGCGTGCTCTCTACAAACTACACTCCACTAGAACCTGGTTGGTTAGAGTTGAGGCTAGTCTCTTGAATCCATCCACGGCAGCCTGCTATCATTTGCGAGAGATTGACCTTGAACTGTCTCGTAAAGACAACCCCAGCATGCTTGCTGTGGTTGTATCTGTTTGTCCTGAGATTGAGAGGGTTCGCATCGAGTTCGATGCTCGGGCTTCGCCGTATGCCCTTGTCCCTCTTGCTGCTCTGAAATGTTTAACAGAACTGGATGTTCAGTGTGTTGCAGACACGAACAGGAAACCATGGGATGATCACCCTACTGCAAATGTTGCTATGTTGGAATGTATATCGCTGTTTGAAGGAAGCATATTGCCTATTTTACAGTCATGTGGAAGTCATCTGCTTACACTGTCACTTGAAGGCATATCAGGAGTTGATATGAAGACTGTGGAACTGCACTGTCCGCATCTTGTGAGCCTTGGTCTTTACTATAACACATATGCCCAAAATTCATTCAGAATTCCTGACAACAAGACCTCTATCAAACCATTTCCTTCACTGCGACGATTGCTTTTTGGGTCCAATTCTGGCAACAATGATTTCTCAGCATCCTATCTTGAGTGGCTGCTTTCAAATGAAAATTTAGAAGAGCTATCCTTATCGGGCTCACCACTCTTTACAGATGAGCTTTTTGCCTCTGCATTTACCAACTCAGCCGCGTTTCCTCGGTTACGACGTCTTGAGCTGGATTACTGCAATGTGACGGCAGAAGTTATTACAGGATTCTTATATCACTGTGGCCGAAAGTCTCTGCGAGAACTGAGTATCTGTGGACCATTTGTCCATGAACAGGCATCACCTGCACTCTGCTATATTATCTGTGAGAAGTTGGATGTGCAGTTGGAGGCCTACTTCTACTCGTTCATTAAAATGAAGAAGCGTGTGGTGCGCTATAAGCAGGATCTCAATTTCATCAGGTAAGTTTTGAATGATGCTAGCACAGAAAAGGGAGCTACAAAGGATGCATTAAAGCATTGATTATGCATAATTGTGTGGTGAAAAAGCAGATGTCATGTTGCATGTAGCAAGACACTGTGAAAACTAATAACGACTGCTTTGTGTTCCATCAGTATAGACAGGCTGGTGGAAATAGTAATCTGTTATTTAGTGATACAGATTTGTATATAATTTCTGGTAATATAGTTTTTAATGTCTGAAAATTGTAATTCAAGTCTTGAAAGTTATGAACCATCACTACACTTGTGACACACAAAATTTAAGTTTCATTTGTTTGATTTTTCTTGATCTACACCACCTTATATGTTTTTGTAGTTGTCTGCTTCATATTGCTCGATAAGAAATACAAAATTAAGATACATACATGTACAAGTTAATTATCAAGCTTGACGGAAATTGCATGTTTGCTAAAACCCATAAGAGACATTTCATAAAGGCTTCAGTATAATCAAGTCAGTAGCATTTGTCTCTCTGCTACTTTTCTGAACTGCTTGTGTCACTTATCTTCTACAAACAATTTCAGCTCATGTTTGATAATACTGATAAGCACTGCACTTTGAAGGCCTAGATACGTGTTTTATTAAATATTATTCAAACAGAAAATTCTGAACAAAAATTTTTAATTGATATAATAAGTCTGTACTATCAGAACATGTGACCAATGCGTGTTCATGAATTTTTATTTCATGAAAGGAAGGAAAAAAGCATTTATTTTTATCCCTTATTTATGTATCTCCAACTATAATTTTGGAAACACATCCACATAAACTTTTTCACATAGGTCCGTTGTTAGTCTTGAATCTCAACTATCTTTTTCACATCTCAGTGTTTAGTACATTTTCCTTCATGTCTTACAGCACAATTATAGACCTTAAAATTGAAATATATGCAGCTGATATAAGATGTTAATTTTCAGCTCAAAATCTGATATTGTATCTCCAAGATATCTACAAGAGAATTGTCACCTTGCAGATCAACACCAGTAATGGACATTGCTCCCAGAGATCAACATGTCCCTCTCAGGCTGAAACGTTCTAGTCACGATCTGCATCACGGTTGGTTTCAAAAATCAACTTCTCACTCCATAATCTGTGATGTATTTAATATGTACATATCATTTTATCCAACCAAAGATTAAGGAAGCCAGTGCTACATTTCCATATAAGATTCAAGCATTTTGAGCACATATTCAGCTGTTGGTTTTATCAGACTGAAATATTACAGTTAAGAACTACTGAATTAAACTGCGCGTGTTCTGATTCAAAGATTTTCAACTGTACAAACAACTTAAACATAAATATTTTTAAGTGCAGAGTCACCGCCTTACGTGAGGGGTGCAGTTTTGCAATAAGTAAGTTGTGGTGCATAAATAGTAGTTTGGTGTGTTATTTGTAAAATAAAAATTTTAATTATTTATTCAGAGATTTGCAGCATCACTTCTGCCTTTTAAGTACATGAATGTATTGCTTTCTGGTAAGTGAACACGTACATAGTTTATTTTGAAATACAGAACAAAGAGGCTTAGCTTATTTTCAGTTTTTATGTCCATCGCGTCCCCGG